CCCCCCGCGCCTTCCCCAGCGCAACTCCAGCGAGCAGAGACTGACAAAGCACACGGCTCCACGCTAGCTCTTGCACATGGATGTGTATTTTAATAAAAATAATTCTGTCAATATACAGCAGAACGTCGATTTACCATATTTCCAGTATATTTTCATAGGCTTTTTCTCAGTTAAAATCCCCCCCTTCCCCTTTTTGAAGTTTTCATGCGAAGCATCAGATAACTTAATTCACAAATACTAAGCTTAGACTGAACCAATGTGCACAATTTGTGTAATGTCCATTTAGCCGATGTTGTACCAAAGAGGAGAATAAACCCCCTCCAAAGGCGATGAGAAGTCTGGAGCGGCAGAGGGAGATCTGCTCTGTCGCAGCCCAACGGCGGCCGTTCCTCCAGGGCTGGTTGGAAACCTGCAAAGACCTCGCACCCCACGCTCCAGCCGAGCATTTCATACCTGAGTTTTGAGCAACCAGCAGAAGAGAGTTAACTGCGTGGTGGGCAGGTCCTGGGGCTTGCACCGCCAAACAGGTTGCGTGCAAGAGCTTCAGGTGCCGGCAGCCTCCTCCTGCCTCCCCTGGCTGGAGAGCCACGAAGAGCGTGCACAGGTAGGACCGAGAGAGACAATCCCAATCAAACGCCCGTGCAGAGTCCTTGGTCTGGAAGAGTCACCACACTTGTATTTTTAAAATTTTCTTTAAAATTCTGATTATCCCCAGAGCCGCTGCTGCTTCTCCTTTCTCCAAGTTTGAGGTTGTGAGAAGCCCAGCCTGCAAAAACCCTCTGTGCTCCCTCCCTGTGGAAGGATGCAGCTAAAGCCCTCCCAAACAAAAGGGTCAGAGCACGTGCCTGGACCAAAGTGGAGTGACCAGAGAAAAGGTGTCTGCCTGGCCAGGGGAAGTTCAACAAGGAGCAGAGGTCTGCATGGCCTCCAGGAATGTTTCTGCGGCGATGTGAGTGTAAATCCCACACAGGACTCAGCTTCTTGCGAGCAGGAGAGAGTTAAGCCTCCCTCTTGGAAACAAAACAGCTGACGGGACGTGTGCTCCTCAAGCCTGGATGAACCCTCGGCTTGCCGGGCACTGCTACAGCTCAAGGCTGCAGGCTCTGAGCTCTGGTGTGGGATGCAGGGAGAGGGACAGACACGCCACGTTCACTCATCCATCACCTGCCACCTCTTGTCGCAGGGAAGGACGGTGGAGAGCAGCTAGTGCTTCCTCTGGAAGAGGCCTCCAGGCTCTCAACCACTCCCCTTTCCTCCCCAAATCTGCTGTAGCTCCCCCCGCGCACACCCCGCCAACACCTCCTCCAGCTCTCTGACCTACACAGCAGACAGGACGTGGCTCACAGCCAGCTGTCGGCTCCGAGTAAGAGCTGCTGCACTGCAGTTCCCTCCATCGCTCATTCTTCTGGGGCAGAAGGGTCTCAGCAGCACGCAGCACACATCCCCTGTCATGTCCCCCTCCGGCCCTTTTGCAGAAACATCTAGGGACAGAGATATACAGCTGGAGTCCCAACACCAGCTCTCTACAAGAGACCTACTCCCCTCCGGATCCACCACTCAGGCTGCTCTAACACGGGCAGGGTTTGAAGGAAGTTGCTCCTTCTGCAAAGGGGACTCCTGGGTGGACCAAGACCACCTTTCCAAGGAACGCGTTCCTTCTCTCACGCTGTGACCAGCTCCACGAGGCCTCACTCCGCCCAGGGCTGAAGCGTGAAGGATCTCCCCGCTTGCTGCCCTGTGGGGCAGTCGAAGACTGTGCACTGCTTCTTCACGGAAAGAACTTCCCAATACCGTGTTGTGCACCATGTAGCGTCATGGCATTTACACACTGCTGCGTAGCCTGGCTATCATGGTTCACCTTCTCAATCAACCTCACGACGGCAGAAGGAACTCTGAAACTTGCACCTAAGCAACACGTGCTACGTGAGTATTAAGGTACCAAAGCACAGCAGCATCACAGCAATCAAACAACGTTTGCTTTGCTGGAGAAGGAGGCAGTTCATCCTGCCTGATGCCTGAGGAGGAAAATAATAAATTCAATCCCCAGAGCTAGTTACACCAGCTCCACTTGTTCCAGTTGTTCAAGGGAGCCTCAAGAACAAAGTTATTTAAAAAATGGTAAAGATGCCTTAATAAGACTACGTGAAAAATAAGGACACAGCTTGAGGACAGGTAAAGATGTCACTGTAAAAAACCAGCAGGAATAAAGAAGCAGATGGAAAAATCCTAGGTGTATGCAACCACGAGGAGCGATACTCCCGAAGGGGCCCATTCTCCACACCAGTCGCAGCTGCATCTCCTGGTGTCTGAATCAGGTTGGCAGCAGCACGGCGAGCACCACCAGGACGTTGGAAATAGAAACGGGCTATAGCACCAACAACCACACAACTTCCAGGTACCCCAAAGCAACGAGCTACAGTTCTGGTACACGTGGGGGGGTGGAGGGGAGGGAGAGCAGCCACCGGACAACCTCCCCCAACAGCTGGATGC